TCCCCCAAAAAAAAAAAAAAAAGGGACCCTTTTTCCCCCCCCTTCGCCCCCTCAAAAAAAAGCCGGCCCCCTGGGCTTCCCCCAAATTCCCCCCCCCCCCCTAAGGCCAAAAAAAAGGGGGCCCCCCCCCCCCCCCCCCCCCCTCTTTTTTACATAATTGGCCGTCCACCCGTCCTTACCGCTACTTGCCGGTTCGACCGAACCCCTTGTCGTCGTTGGGCGGATCTACACTAAAAAAACGAAAAAAAAAAACGGCTGCAGAGGTCGCGACGCGGCTAGAGTTCGTGTTTCCGGCGGTGCTGCGAGCGTCTTTCGTCCTCTTCTCGGTGACCTACTCGTACTCCGTCTTGGCCTTCGACATGTACTGCGCGACGCCACTGGGGGTCGAGCCCGTCGACAGCGTGGCGGACCACAGCATGATGCAGAGGTGAGAGAGAGAGGCTTGATACGGCAGTTTGTTTTTTATTGTTGTTGCTTGGCGCGCAGATGTATGCGTATGCGTGCGTACGGAGACTGGAAATCTTTGTGCGACAAACGCACACCTCGGTGGCATGGTAACATTTTGGCTCGAGTATGGAAATGTTGTCACCGGGCGTGACCTTGTGGGGGATTGGTTCGGTATCTTACGTCGCCTTGTTAAATGATCCGAGCGTATTTCTCTGTTTTGGGCCCATGGTGACCCGTAGAAATAATACCACCGCGTATGTTGTTGTTGTGTGTGGGTGATATCTTTTGTGGGTGTGTTGTCTTGTGTGGTGCACGGTACACGCAAGGGAGGACGAAACGAAACGAGTGATAAAACTAGGAAAGGGAGGATTTGAATTAAGGCGCAGACGAAACAAATTGTTGTTTATGGAACCCATGCGAACTGCCATAGAGTTTTCATCGTGGTACACGGAGGAAAGACTTGCGTAATCTCCCCGTACGTATACACGGAAACATCAAGGATTTCGGCAGCGTGTGTACGAAGCACGACGAAGACACTTCTAGATAGATAGCGACGTTCTTCTTCGCTCTCGGCATCAAACGCAAATAAATGTTGTCTGCGTGGGTGGTTTATCTCGTTGGCATGATGTCGTCGGGAGGGAGGTGATACTCCTGTAAATTAATGGTGCAGGTCCTGGTTCAGGAGACGTACTATAATAATGCGCACGCACGTTTCGGTACAGAGGGAGAAAGATGTGCACAACGCACGTCTTACATGTAGAGTTACCTAGACTCGGAGAAACGTATTTTTTCGCGCAAGCCCGTGGACGGATCTAGCTGACTGACAGCAGTAAGAAAGGGAGGGAGGAAGAGAGGGAGAGAGAGAGACAGACGCACAGACAGACACACAGACATCCAACCCAACTTTTGTGAGGTCTTGAAGTGATTAAGGGGCGCTGCATTCACCTCATCGGCGGAAAGGAAGAAAAGTCGTTCGTGATGTCGAGCCGTATTCTTTATTGTTTTGCTTGTCTACACTACTCGCCGTTTTCCTGTCTGTTACGTACGCCACGATCAACGAACCATCGCGCGGCGGCAGGTGGGCGTATTACAAGGACGTGATATCATTCGCCTCGTTGCACCAGTCCTTCGCCGCGATGACCGACGTCATCATGCTCAGCAACTGGCCGCTGTTCATGGACGCGGCAGGGGACGTGGGCAACGTCGTGACGGCCAAGCTATTCTTCTACTCCTTCAAGGTGATGGCGGTGTATGTGCCGTATTTGGTTG